ACAGTCATGTTTTCATTTTGACATACTGTAGTGACACAACTAACCTTAAAAGAAAATCAGAGCAGGAAACATGTTCAACAAATCATTTTCAGAACTTGTGATGAAAAAAATAAAAGTTCTGTGCAACTGTTAACAGTCTCTGCCGTTTTTTTGCACAAAGCAATCAGATGTCACACAAATTATTTGTGTTGTTCCAAAAACTAGTTCTGTCCAGCAAAAGGCAGAGGAGCTCATCACAGGCCTAAAACCTCAGGTGTATCACTTCTGTTTTCCACATGGAGATTTCAGTCAGTGACATTCAGCCGTCACCTCGCTGCTGTGACACGCAAAAAAAGAACAAAAGCCAAACACCGTAGACACACTTCAAACATGCTAAACATCAAAATCATTCCCACTTTCCCCTCTTTGTAAGCAAACAAATGGCACGTGTTGCCATATCATTTCTTGATTGGTTGATGTGGTGCATTTTTCCACCAATAGGAAAGGGTGTGTTTGTTCGTTTTTGCTTGAAAGTGCATTCCTTAGAACATCCAGTTTTACCACTGCTCTGTACGCTACACCTGACGACAGTATTCAGGAAAAAGCACAATGAGAATGATTTATCATAACTCTAGCTTTACTTGGTCTGTCAACACAAACGGAGACTCAGTGAGACTGCATCTTGCTGGTACGTCATCTTAAATGGTCATATGATTTGGACGCACTAGCATGGCTGTCCTGTCCAAAGGCCCCAAAACCTGACGTGATTGGTTAAATGAGTGATGGCATAAGCAATTCTCCACAGCTTCCATGGTGGCAGATAATGCCAGAGCACGCATTAGCCAACTTCCTGTTTAATGGGGAGTTCTTCCTCAGCCTCTGATTTTTAAAAACTTTTTTTTCTGATCCTCCTGTGGGGCTCTTTGTAGCTCTTTTTCTGATATTTCATATCATTGTTATGCTAATGATGTTCAGCTATATATCTCTTTTAGGCCACCTGATGTTTCTAAGCTCCAAATCTTGCAGTCCTGCTTAGATTCCATTAGAGATCGGCTGGCTGATAATTATCAACTAATTATCAACTAACTAAATGCTGGTAAAACTGAAGTCATTGTTTTTGCTCCTGAGAAATTTGTTCCCCCAGTGGTTAAAAATCTAGGCCCTCTTGCTTCTTATATTAAACCCTCCATTAGTAACCTTGGTGTTAAATTTGACCCAGCTCTGACGCTGGACTCACACGTTAAATCTTTGGTTTGCTCCTGTTGTTACCATTTAAGAAATGAGTCCCATTGTGTCATGCTCTGAATTGGAAATGATTCTTCATGCTTTTGTTTCATCTCGCTTAGATTATTGTAATTTCTTGTTTACTTGCTTAAGTAATGCCTCCCTGGAACGACTGCAG